TGTTTCACTTGTTAGCTCTCAAGTCTATCAAATACGAACAACAACGAAAATTGAGAAGGTGCAAAAATGACAGCAGCAAGTGCAAAAAGAAAGAAGAATACGGCAGCAGCAGCAGCAAAAATCAAGATGAGCCAAGTAAAAGGGGATTGACAGTTATAACAGAATATGGCAACAAGAACAAAAAAGCATTGAGTCAAAAAAGAGTCCCACATCAGCAAATGGATAAGCAGTAAAAGAAACATTTTCACACAGTAGAAAGTAGGGTAAAAAGCAATTTTTTTAATTCACTACAGACAAATGCAGAGGTCACTATCAAGTCTCAGAAAAACAGAAATCATGGTATTGCCTCCTAACAGAATCGTACTACCCAAATGCTCCTCATTGTCCTACCTCACACGGATCAAGCACTCCCTTCAGCAAAATTCAAATTCTCACACGTATAAAAAAAAACCTAAAACTCTCCTATAAATACGGTCCTGTTCATTGGTAAAAGAGAACCCTAAGGTCACCTTGCCAAAAATCAATCCCTAAGCATAAAGCTCGAGATCCTGAAGAACTTCTTAGAGCCTCACACTGAGACTCTAAGGTAGTAAGCTCAGCTATATTTCTACGCACCCATAATCTAGCAGTTTAAGGAGAAGAAGAGAAAATAAAAGTGAATCAAACGAGCAGTAAAGCTAACCAGTCCAAGGAGTATTCACCTGAGGTAAACGTGACAAACTCTTGTAATCTTCATTGTAGGAACATATAGGCTTGGAAATCATCTGTGTTTGTTGTTTTGTTTACTTGGTTGATGTTCATTTCGTTTTGTTTACGACTCGAAGCTGTGCGAAAACATGGTTCCCGATTCTAATCTAAGGACTCATAACGAAATCATGAATTTAATGTAGAGTTTAGGTTCAGATTTGTTGATTTGGGGAGATTTGAGTGGGGATTTAGGGTTTGCGCTCAGGGCAAAGGGATTCGCCTTTAGGGTATCCCGCTTCGGGGCGTTTGCGCCGCCGGAGGAGATGATTGTGCTGTCGCCGGTCGCTGCATCTCTCCAGCGTTGTGGTTCGATTTTCTAATTGAAAGCAGCACAAGGAGGTTGCGGAAAAGGTTTCGAGAGAGAAGAATGATTAGGGATGTGCTATCGTGAGGGAGAGATTCCGTTTTGAGTTTAGGAAAGGAAAATGAGTAAGATACTGTTAATGCTTCAGGTGTTAGGTTAACTAAGACTTGATAGAACTTAATGGGGTCATTTAGAAACTAATTATATTTAGTTTAAATTATCATGTATATTATTAGTGATATTACTATTTTTGTAGATTTTATTAAATTATTATAACTAATATTTGCTTTGACATATGAATTTATTTAAATTCTATTTAGGATTTTATTAAATTTATTTCTTATTTTCCTTTTATTAGAATTAAAACATTTTTAGAATAGAATAAAAAAGATTCTTTTTGAATTTATATGAAAGTGGTGGATCCTAAGAGTCTAGCACTCCTTGGATCCTTAAGCGACCGCTCTCGAGGTGCACACCTTGAGTTGTGGTCGCTTCGTCTTTCATCCTTAAAAACATTTAACCTCGTTTAAACCTTCCAAAGGTCGCAAACCCTAATTCGAGCAATACGCTCACCCTAGTTTAATCTACACGCTAATATTTTCAAATTATTTTCATAATTAAGTTATGAAAGTATCGAGCTCTTGGAGTCGCGCATTCCTTGAATTCGAGAATAATTACGATCAAGGTGTACACCTCGAACAGTATATCATTCGAACTTTCGTGTCTAAAATATCTCCATAATTATTTGAACAAGTATTCACTGTCCAGCAAACACTTTCGTAATTAATGGAATGAAAAAGAGGTCGTTGGGGTCTAGCATTCCAACGATATCCCGACTAATTGGTTGTGAGACTGACGTCTCGTTTATCGAGTAGTCGTCATTCCTCCCAAATTTTCAACCCGCATAACCTCGTTTCTCACCCTCGTGTGATTGAATCAAAATCTCCTTCAATTTAAACTCTTTCACATCTAAACTATCCATCAAACATATTTTGAATGAAAAAGGTATCGTTGGGATCAAGCATTCCAATGATGTCCCGATTGATTTGATTACGAGGCCGACGTCTCGTTTATCGAGTAATCGTCATCCCTCCTAGCATTTAACCCATCTAATCTCGTTCCTCACCTTCATACGGTCGAGTCTAAACCCTAGTACGCTTCTAAACCGTACGTCAAATTTAAAACTATTTTCTTAATTAAACTACGAAAGAATTGAGTTCTTGGAGTCTCGCACTCCTTGAATTCTTGAGTAACCACTCTTGGGGCGTACGCTTTAGGTTGTGGGTTGCTCGACCTTTCGTCCATAAAACACGCGCCCTAACTATTTGGACAAATACCGCCATTGTCCATTCAAATACAGTTTTCATAATTATTTGAATGAAAAAGGTACCATTGGGATCTAGCATTCCAATGATATCCCGATTAATCGATTGCGAGACTGACGTCCCGTTTATCGAGTGGTCGTCATTCTCCCTTAAAATATTCAACCCTACTCTCTTCTCTCGCCCCCGTGCGATTGAAACTTTCTCAAACACATATTTCGTAATTATTCGAATGAAAAAGGTGTCGTTGGAATCTAGCATTCCAATGATACCCCGATTAATTGATTGTGAGGCTGACGTCTCGTTTATCGAATAGTCGTCATTCTCCATCAAATTGCCTAACTAAACTCCTTTTTCTTGCCCCCGCGCAATCGAAGCTTTAAACCTATCCAAATGTATCCTCAAACCAAAACATCCAATACGATAAACCTAATCCCTCGCCCTTGCGCGATCCTTACAACTCAAACAACTCTTCTCAAAGAACATTGTTTAGTCCCTTCTTCCGCGCATAACAAACTCGTGCTTCAGCCTCCCCTAGCGAGCAGACAAGCCAACGTTTAGCAGTTAGAACGCGACCTAAACACTCGTTCATTCACAAACCTTTTACCGTAGTTAGCCGAACTACGGCTGCTCTGATTCTTCATTCACTTTTGAATGTAAGATACGTAGGCACAAGATTGCGATGATCTTGGCGAGCACAATCCCCTCTTTTTCCCGTAGTCCCACGAACTACGATTGCTCTGATTTTCCACTTCTTACAAGTGAAGATACGTAGGCACAAGGGCCCCAATCCTTGGCGAGCACCCTATCCTATAACCATCCATTCCCCCTATAGGAGAAACCTTAGAAGAAAATAAATAAGCATAGTTAACTTTACTCTCGAATCGATCAAGAGGTTCCCGTTGAGTACAACGGACGTAGAGGGTGCTAATACCTTCCCTCTGCGTAACCGACTCCCGAACCTAGAATATTGGTTGCGACGACCATGTTCTTATCTCCTTAAAGGTTTTATCGATATTTTCCTATTCCTTCCTTGGAATGAATAAAGTTCGGTGGCGACTCTGTTTCGAACAGTATTTTTCCGCGGCCATCGCGAGGATCGTATTTTTCGAGGTACGACACTCACCATCAAACATGGGAGGTTTGGTGTTGATTCTGTCTCTATCATGATATTTGTTGTTGTATGAAGTTGAAGCTTCAGCCATGATAAGTTAAGAATAATAGATCAAGAGTTTTTCCCAACAGGATCTTTTTCTGTCACGGTTAAGTGAAAGCACTTACAGAACCGGAGCTCTGATGCCAACTGAAGGTAGGAAAAACACTTAGAAGGGGGGTTGAATAAGGGTTTTAACACAATTAAGATGATAGAAAAATAACAAGGTATTTTTATCCTGGTTCATTTGAACTCAAACTAATCCAGTCTACCCTACCAAGGTGATTTTCCTTTCTCAACAAGGACTTAATCCACTAAATCAAACTGATTACAGTGTTAACCACTAAGACAACTGTCTTAGTCTTGTCAAGAAATCTGACCACACTTGGTCTCTTAAGGAATCTTTTACAAAAGATAAACTAACAATGTGTTTAAGATTTGCTTCTAAACAGCTATATCACAACAGTGATTTTTACACAAGTTAAAGAACGAAAAGAAAACTATTCAACTTTGAATAAAGTTTGTATGAGTTGCTTGTTGAATAATTTGTCAATAACTCGTTTGAAGTTCATTAACCTTTGAAGTGATGCTGAGACTGCTTTTATAGTACTTTGAAGTCCATTTCTCAAAGACTTTGCACACTGTGCATTCTGTTGCTTTTTGTCTTCTATTGAATTTTCCTTTCTCAGAAGAGGAATGTTCTAACAAATCCTTTTTGTCTGAATTTCTGTGTCATGCACGAATGAGGAAAGAGTCATTTGGATAAGAACAAAGAATATGCCAACGGATCTTTATTTGAACAACATCTTCTTCAACAACTTTGGAACGTCTTGCATTAGAACTTCTGATGAAGTTCCTAGTTCTTCAGATCAGAGTTAACTCAATCAGAGTTTGCAGCAAAGTGCTTTAAGCGTGAAATTCTTTATCAGAGCAGACTTGCTTATCAGAGCCTCTGTACTTGCAGTGTTAAGTACTTCCAGAGTCTTCTGAAACCATACTGTATGTTCTTTACTCAAGTTCTTCTCAGCTTCGCTCAGAGTCACTGTAGCAGATCAGAGTCTTCTGATGTGTTTCTTCTGATGCTCAGAGCTTTTTCGTTCTGTAGTGTTTAGAGGCGTTCTTACTTCCAGAATAATATTAATTTTGATATCTGAAACAAATAAAAACTTGAACAAAATTAGAGTATATAAATTCTCTATACAAAATTTCATTAATGTTATCATCAAAACAATGAGATATATTAAACACCAATCTGTGTTCTAACAATTATGTGAAGGACATATGGTTGACATCACATAGACAAAGATTTGTTGGAGCATGGATTAATCGAGTGATACATTTGGGTAACACCACGACTAATCGATATGTATTTATTTTTAGTATTTCTAAATTGTATATTTTTTTTGTATTTTTTAAAGTATTTTTAATAAGTATTATTTTTAGGGTTGAGTCTGCTCATTGGAAGTTAAAGCAGATGTTGGGGAGCAGTATCGGTGACATGGTCAAATGTTGGGAGGCTATGAATGACAACTTAAAGTTACAGCTGGGCAAGATTAGAGCTTCTTTTCAAAAGAGTTTTTATAAAGTTGAGCACGCCCACATAAGTCCATTTTACAATAATTTATGTGGTTCAGTGTCTCGAGCTGCATTGAGATGCATTGCTAAAGAGTTAACACGAGTTGATTATGTTTGAACTAAAAAGGCAATATATCGTTGTACTCTTAGAACAGCCTATGGATTACCTTGTACTTGTGACTTGACAGGATATAGAATTGGTGGTATACTGATAACAATAGATGTTGTGCATGTTCATTGGAGGAAACTAAGTATGGAAGTTAGGTTAGAAGAAGACGTAGATGATAGATCAGAGTTGGATATGAGTAGTGCAATAAATGAGTTATGGAGAAGGTTTAGGTCACTAGATGTTATTGGGAAAAGGGCATTAAAAAGTAGGGTTTTTGAACTTGCCTTCCCCATAATGACTTCTTTGTGTCCACCACCTGAGAAAATAAAAACCAAAGGAAGAGTCCAGAAGAAAGGCAAAAAACCAGTAGGATATGATGTTTATAGGGACCCTTCATATCATGAGTATGTTGATAAATATCTCAATCTTCATAGAGGAAATCTCAACCATCACAGACTTCGAAGAAGTTGAAATTATCACAATCTTCATAGAAGAAATCTCAATCATCACAAGCTTCGAAGAAGTTGAAATTATCACAATCTTCACAGCCATCTAAGTAGTTCATCCTTCAGTTTTCTAATCACATCAGGTCATATATTGATGATGTAGTTAATGTTGTATCAGATGGTAATTATGGATTTAGAGTCATTATTACATTGCATGGATATGGTGAGGATGGTTGGCCAATGGTTCGTCGAGACTTGGGGTTGGAAATAATACATAATGAAAGATTAAGTTTGTATGCCAATTTATTTGCTAATCGGTTAGCAGAAGTGAAAGAGTCTTTGATGATAGAGGCATTTGGACCTCAACCACCACAGAAATGGTTGACTCTACCAAATATGGGTTACTTGATAACAAATCGTTATAATGTTGTACTTGTCTATTTAGGTTTTGAATGCTAGACTTTCTTCCCTATGACAACTTCATTTTCACCAAATGTATCCTTTTACTGCATTAGTTTTGTAAACACAAATCATTGGGTTCAGGTACTTAGTTATTTTTACTTAGTTATATTTAGTTAATGTGACTAACCTAATTTCTTAACGTTTTGATTTTTTTTATTCAGGTAAGCATGAAAGAAGGATTTCCATTGCCACCAGCGACAGTAGATTGGAAGAAGTTTCGTTCTCCAGTAGCAACATCTTGGTTGCTAGGATTTCCAGGACGTTTACAATATTGGCAATAACTTACGCCTATATTACCAATGCATTGTGCATTATAAATTATGTTATTCATTTTTAATTTCAAAACACGAGTCATGAATTATATTATTCATTTTTAATTTCAAAACATGAATTATGAATTACGTTATTCATTTTTAATTTCAAAACATGAATCATGAATTATGTTACTCATTTTTAATTTTAGTAACACATAACTGGATTCAAAACTAAACATCAATTTACAAGTTAACACGTAAACATAACCCAACTAGGTGAAGTGAGTCTAAAAGTTAATACATATACATAAACATAAGTCAATAAGTCTAAAAGTTAACACATAAAAATAAACATAAATATAAGTCAATGTGAACGAGCAATACGTAAAGCTTCGAATAACTCAGCAAACTAAGGATCATCCTCTTCAGCATCAGCCTGTTGAAGATAATGATGAATCAATGTAGAAACACGAGCCCAACTAGGATCAGACAGTCCTGCATCATAAACAAAAACTGGCACCTCTCTTGGCGCATCACGATGGAGCGGTATCAGACGAGGATGTGAAACACAATAATACCACTGAAGATATCCACCATCTGTCTCAAATGGGGTGGTGGCCAGTGTTGTGCGATGAATCACATCCCCAACGCTCTGATGGTAACTAATCCACTCAACATCAATATCACCATCCATCGTATAATTAAGAGGTGGAGGTGAAAGATACTGCTTGTATCCAAACTGACGCATACATTTTCCAGGCAAGTATGGAACAAAAGTGTCATCCCACCTCAGACACCACATGTATAGACATAACTCATCAAACTGACGCCATACCCTATTCTTGCGGTGGAAATAGGATATCAAACTATTAATTAGTTTGAATCACAATTCTTAATTCACAACCGCACTTTGATTTATCCGAAGGAAAAGGTCAAAAGAGGGAAAACCTATTTTTGCATCGTAAACACAATGCGGGGAGAGACCTAGGTAAGGGGTTGGTTAAATTTAGGGAAGCTACTAGCATCCTAAACTTCTGTAGTACTCTACAGGAACCTTTGTTTATTGTATGCTTTTTTATTTTATTATCTGTTTGATGTATATATTGAGCTAAGGGATGGAGTTACCTAAAGACCTAAGGGTTATTCCTAAGTTTACTCGACAAGACGTCGCATCTCGTGCCTATATATCCTGATGGGAACGGAATCAGAGTAATTGTAGTTCCCCTCGAAAGGGAGGTTAGAAACGTCTTGACTGTGGTCAAGGTTTCAAGGGTAGTAAACGTATCTTAAGGACACGCTTACGTGGAGTTTTAAAACTCCTATTTCTATGTTGAATTGTTGATTAAAATTAGGGTTAAATTGGGTGTTCCACGGCTGGAAACCCTAAACGGAGCACGGTGGCTCTTTGACCTAAAGCTAGGGTAAAAGGCGTTTTCGTCCACGGCGGGACGCCTAGGCTAAATAGGGTTTGAAATGGTCAAAAAGGTTAAGACTATTGACTCGGCGGTCAAACGGCTAGACCTAATTCCTTCGGAAGGTGATTAACGGTAAATCATGCAAAATATGGCAGATTATTAAACGGCAGAAATAAAGTGCAGAAAGTAAAGAAAGTGTCGCGACGATCACTCGCGTAAATTACAAATCCCCAAAAAGAAAAATAAACTGCGACCATGGCCTCGCGTAAATTACATCCATGGAAACACATATAAATATGATAATGGAATATTTAAATAAAGATAACAGAAGTTAAACTCAACCAGCAGGAAAAAAAAAACAAAACAGAGAATGTTAATAGGAATAGACAGAAATAAAACGGATAATGAGATAGTGAAGAAAGAGATGCTAATTTGGAATTTTTTTTAGTTCTTAAAAAGGATTTCGGTTTTAGCTTTGAAAAATGATTTTAGTCTTAATAAAAAAATATTTAGCCTTAACTTTAAAGAAAGAATTTTTTTTTGTTTTAAATTTAACAAAGGTTTAATTTAACTATATATATATATATATATATATATATATATATATATATATATATATATATATATATATATATATATATATATATATATATATATATATATATATATATATATATATATATATATATATATATATATATATATATATATATATATATATATATATATATATATATATATATATATATATATATATATATATATATATATATATATATATATATATATATATAAAGTTTAATTATCAAATTTTCAAAAAGTGTCTTAGTTTTAATTTGAAAAATGTTTTAGTTTTAATTTTTTTTTAAAAATTGAAAAAAAAATTTTTGTCAATTTCTATATCAAAAATAAATTAATTTTAATATTAAAACTTTTAGTTTTAATTTTGAAAAAAAAGAAAAAGAAAATTATTCCTAATTTTAAAAAAAGAAGTTTAGTTTAATTTTGAAAATGTTTTTTAAGTTTTCATTTAATAAAAGAAATGTTTTAATATTATAAAAAGAGAATCTTAATCTTAATTATGAAATAGAATTTGATTTGTTGATAAAAAAAAACATCTATTTTTATTAACTAATAAAAATTTTTTATTAATTAATTAAATAAACATTATTTCAAGACCTAATTATAAAACCTGGAAAATTAACATGGGGCTGACTAAACGAAAAAACGGTATGCTGTAACATGATTTTGTCACGTTACTTCCCTAACTAATTAACAAATGTTAATATTAATTACCTACTAATTAATTAATATATAAAAAAAAACAAAAGAACCAAACATAAGTGACACAGAGAAAAACGGAGCATTTGCCTTTGGGGTTTCAAACCCTTCTCTTCTTCTCTAATGCAAATCCACCGCTGATCATTGTCGTATCCTCGGTCGGAGCTTTTCCGCGATCTCCATCTTCTTCTTTGCATGTGCTAATTTCCTGAAACCAACATCAAAATTAAACGAAACAAACACAATACCCTTACACTTTTACCTTCGATTCACGGTTGATGGTCGCCGCTGATGTGGAAACTGAGGCAGAAACGGCCGCAGTGCATCGAACGAGCCGGCGTTGATGGTCTCCTCCGTCCGGAGCCGCCGGAAGCTTCCGCGTGGCCGAAGGTGGCGAGGTTCCTTCGTTTGCTTCCGGGTTTCTTTGATCTGGGTTTTCTTCTTCTTTCTTTACAGTTCGATGATGATGAAGTTAAAGCTTCTGAATCCGCCGCTCTTGTTCTTGGTTCCCTGGTGAGTTTGTTCTTATTTCTGCAATGTTGTGGTTCTGCGCCGTTTTTTTATCTAGGGTTCCCCCCCCCCCCTCTGATTTTCGGATGCCCATATATATGATGATGATTTTGGGCTGGATTTGTATGTTACCGTTTTACTGATTCACGGAGATTTTTCAGGAGATTAATGCTAACTCCTTTGTGGTTTTCATAGGATACGTGTTCTGTTGAATTTTTCCGGAAATGATGGCTGAGTCACATTCTCTTCAATTGGTGTTTGACTGGGATTTTGTTTTGGATAATTTTCCTGTTGGATTATCGAAACGGGTTTGTTCGGAAACTGGTTTCGAGTTGTTTGGATTTAACTGGTTTTCTGAACCGTTTTCGGAACTGGTTTGAAACTGGTTGTCTGAACTGGTTTTGATTTTCTGAACTGTTTCTCTGTTGGATTCTCTGAACTGGCTTTTGCACTTGATTCTGAACTTGGTTTGGGATTGACTTTCTGAACTGGCTTTGGAACTGTTTCGGAAAGGTTGGCTTTACGGTCCGACTTTTTGGGCAAACCGCCTTTCTGAATAAGCGCTTTTGGCCAAACCACTTATTTCGACCTAATTTTCCTCTTCATCTTTCTCGATCGCCTTTGATAAGAATGGATTGTAG